ACGACGGTGCGTAGTTAGCAAAGCGGATTCTTACGACGCGGAATAACTCGTCGGTTTGCCAGAATTCGTTCGTGTGGTTTATCGGGAGACTCCAAATTAACAAAAATAATTTTAAAGAAAAATAACTATTTATTTAATAGAGCGTTAAAAAGAAAATTTATCAATGAGTACATGTGTATTTCTGTAATGGTATAGTCGGATCTAACTATCGGAAATAAATAAGTAATTTCTTATCGGTTGGACGAGTAAATGTTGCGACGGTACATGTGTATAATTCTAATTGCGAACGAATGAATAATGAACGGAAAACAAACGGCGTAAATTGTTGGTGCGCTTTTGGCTGAATTATAAACAAATTAAATTATTTAATCGGTCGGTTCGTACGGTACGGAGCAAAGTAATAAAAAAATAAGCGATACCGCGTATATCCGAGCCTTGCTGAGTCATCGACGGTTGCCGGTACGCTGTGTCCTAAGACAGTGAGAGACTTCTCTCGTGCAAGGGGTATCGGAAGTCGAACGCCGGGGACACCCGGCCGAGGCAGAGAACGCCCTGCCCCTAGAACGACGGAGAGTCGGAAGTCGAACGCCGAGACACCCGGCCGAGGCAGAGAACGTCCTGCTCCTAGAACGACGGAGAGTCGGAAGTCGAACGCCGAGACACCCGGCCGAGACAGAGAACGCCCTGCCCCTAGAACGACGAGGTACAGGAAGTCGAACGCCGAGACACCCGGCCGAGACAGAGAACGCCCTGCCCCTAGAACGACGAGGTACAGGAAATCGAACGCCGAGACACCCGGCCGAGACAGAGAACGCCCTGCCCCTAGAACGACTATCGGGATGGGAGCGAGTACGACCGGAGCTTCAGAGTGCGCCCTGAGGCTTGTCCGAGTCGTACTCGGGGAATGGGTCCCGATCTGTTCCGCGAGCCGGCTTTTATACCGGTCGCGCTACCCCCACTTGGGGTGCTACCCTACCCGGCAGCTATCCCTTCTCGAGCTTTTACCCTCGAGTTGGGGGATCGGAATGCGGCCCTAAATGGGGGTGCTCACGTGGAGCCTGCGTGACGCTTTAGTAACAGCGCGTGCTGTTACATGTATATATCGGTAATTATAATATCAAGATTAGACCACATCTATAAAAATTTATAAAAATGTATAGAACTTGCAGTACATAAAAAATGCAATTTTCGTAATTCGGAGCTATAATTTATTCAAAGGAATTATTGTAACACTTCCAATGACCTAAAGTATTTTATCAATAGCAAAATGGTAGCCGATACCTACAATAAGGAACCCAAGATATCCACAGCAAATAATTTTCAAAAAAAACCTTTAACAATTACAAAAATGACGGAAGTTGAAAATGGCGTACAAAATGAAAATGAAATCCATACAGAGGACAAAAAATGGATTAATCACAAACAGGAGGTGAAGTGGATAAATGTCGCAATTCTTTTTCTCTTACATGGAGGTTTCCTGTATTCGTTGTTTAATTTTAATTGGTTTGAAAATTGGAAGACAATCATTTGGAGTAAGTATATTCTTTGGAAGATGATTAACTTCGATTTTTCTTCTAAAAAAACTTTAAATAAGCAAAAAGTCAGTTTATTAATGGAATAATCATTCTTCTACATTTTTTTACACATAGATGGATATTTTAAACATGATAATTACATTTATATTGCACATTTTTTTAAAACATTAATATTATCTTTAGCAATGATTGGTTTGATTAGAAATTAAGCAATGGAATATGTATATATATGCGAAATTATAGAGAGTTAGCAATAATTACTTGACAATAAAGAAGATTTCTGTTTTTACTGTGCAATTTTGATTTTATAACACATCACGCTGTAAAAATAGTTCGCTCTTTGTACTAATTGTGAGAATATTTTATTACTTTAAAATATCAAAGTTGACAACTTGATTTTTATTAAATCAGAAGATTTTGATTTATATTTATAATTAGCTTTTTTTTTAAACATCCTATTTTACATAATTCATTCTAATTTTAACGTAATTAGCAGTATAACTTATTACAGTACTTTAAGATAGATTTATTTTTAGGATAGATATAAAGTATGCATAATTTTATATTATAATTAATTATTACATATAATCTTATAACGGTATTGTTTATTTACCTTGATTTTTCTCACTTCAAGTTTTCGTCGGGATTTATACATTACACTCAATCGGTGTGAACGGTGCTATTCATCGTCATTGGACTCACCAATCGTTTAAAGCAAATTGGCCGCTCAGAGTTATATTTCTTATTTGCTACTGCATAGCTGGCCAGGTAGGTAAATGTTTAGATAATTATTTTTTGCATTACGAGGAAGAAGCGTTTTCCTTCATCATGATTCTCGTTTAGAACAATCCTTTTGAGTGGGTGCGAGATCATCGAGTACACCATAAGTACACAGACACAGACGCGGATCCACACAATAGCAACCGAGGATTCTTTTTCTCTCATGTCGGCTGGCTGATGATGAAAAAGCATCCAGAGGTGATACAAAAAGGTCGTCAGATTGATATGAGTGACGTAATGGCGGATCCCATTTTCATATTCGGTTGCAAGTAAGTCCGCATCGAAGAGTTGCTAATTATTCTTTTCTCTGAAATACATTTTTACTTGAAAAGTAGGACGAGTTAGAAATTTATAAACACTTGTTTATTTTCCTCCAAATTTTTATAATTGCCATGTCTTTTTCAATAGAGCTTTTGTGAGACTTGATGTGTATCGTTCAATTTATTTTTTCTTTTAGACATTTCTTGATATTAAAGATTGTTTTCGCTTTCTTGCTACCGATTTCAATACCCGTGTACGCATGGAACGAGATCTGGTCCAGGGTCGTTATGTCACAGATTTTTCGTTACGTACTCTTTTGCATTTCACGTGGATCGTTAACAGTGCAGCTCACATGTTCGGTTCGAAGCCATACGATGCGTAAGTATGCAGCTATGTTTGACTAATGCAGAATAAATTTTTTTATAACTCATAGATTATGATTGCTATAATTTCAATATTTTAATTATTTTTTATCAAATATAATCAATTTAAAAAAAAAATAAATTTTTTTTTTACGAGTTTAAAAAATACGGTGCTACAAATACTTACAGATTTCTCGCTATTCTTTTGCCTGCAACAAAGTAATTTTGTCTCGTATTTTATTTGAACGATAGAGAAATCAATCCGTCGGAGAACAGACTCGTGGCGTTTTTGGCATGTGGCGAGGGTTGGCACAATTATCATCATGTGTTCCCATGGGACTACAAGGCGGCTGAATTAGGCGATTATAAATTGAATATCACCACGATGTACATTGACCTATTCGCGAAGATCGGCTGGGCATACGATCTCAAGCAACCATCAATGGATCTCGTGAAAGCTGTATTTGCGAAAAAAGGAGACAGGAGTCATTGGAGTATTGTATCGAATGCAAACAATAAAACTGAGTAATAAAGATTAATAATTTTTCAGATGATACAACAACGTGTCACACGATTATGATAACGTAGACATTTATTCTACGAAAATAAATGCATCCAGTTTAAAAACGGGAAACGTCTGATGTAACCGACGTATTTTGGTAAAAAGCGTAACTTTTCTTTGCGAACTTTCTTTTACTGTTTTACTATGAAATTATATATTATATATTTGTATATTATATTATATAAATTTATATATTATATTGTTTACGTATTATTCATAATATGTATCATATTAAATTATATATTGTTTTAAAAAAGATTGTTTATAAATAAATATGTTCTTTGTTGAGTATTGAAAAAATGTATCCATTTGTACACACAAACATGCATTATTTGTCGCTTTGATGACCACAAATGACAATGAGTGCGACCAAATATCCATAGGTGCCCAATACTTTTTGTATTTAGTTTTTGTATTTTTGTATGTATCTGAAAGACGTCTTTAAAAAATGATGCTGTTTGAACGTCTTTCAGATGTTTTAAAGACATGCGTGCTGTGTCTGCGATTTGTGTCATTTAACGATACATTCGAATAGTTTTAAATAGGAATACTCTTGTGCGATTCTTTTTTATTTTATTGTGTAATATTCGCAGATCTCAATATTAAAAATATCAATATATTCGAAGCTTCGATTATTGCAACAGTAAATAATTTTTATGATTAATTGAACGTAACATTTAAAATAAATGATTAAATATGAAAAACCTGTTCTTTACAAATCAATATTTTAATAATTAATCAAAATATCGTCAAAATGTATAATGATAAATAAGAAAACGTTTAGTGATACACATAGTTATATAAATAGAATCAATATACACAAAAATTTTTTATTATACTAAAATAGGTTTATTGTAAATTTTGTACATTATAATATGGAACGTATCCCAAATTTTCGTAACAAAATCTAGAAAGATGATATAACATATTAAAATATGCAATCTTCGCAATAACAATCACTTAATAGTACAAAGTGTTGCACGCGCTTCAAGATAACGTAGGAGTATCGCAAAAAATAGACGATAAATGTCTTTTTTAAGAGTGAATGAATTTTTTCAGTACAAAGGCATATATAAAATGCAGTTTAAAAAACACTCGCTGAGATCAAGTGGTATGCATAATAAAATGATATTTTTTGTTAATAAATTTAACATGTGTCAACAGCGTTTGTTTCACGCTTTTTTTTCTGAAGCACCAGAAAAATTATAATATTTTATTATCTTTAGCGTTAAGCTCTCATTTTTTATTATTACTATTTAAAATATTATTAACGCTTTCAATTTATATTTTTTGCTGTTGCTATTGCTTCGGGTATAGGTGTTGCTATTGATGATCGTAGATTGTGGTCCCACCGATCTTACAAAGCAAAATGGCCGTTGAAGTTTATTTTCATGATTTACTATTAAAGCAGCAATCTAGAAAATCATGAGCATCAACACCATTCTGATCACATCTCAGAATTAAGCTTCTGGAATTGTGGTAAATTTTGGTGGATTCTGGTGGATTTTGTGGGAACGGATTTTGTTGGAACACAAATTAGTAAATTACCTTTTATTGTTTGTATGATATCAATATATTGTTTTTTTTCTAAATCAGATAGTATTTAATTCCGCTTTGCTGCTTTATTATAGAACAGCGTAAGTATAATTCTGTTGTGACCCGTGTTATAATAGAGTAAATAGTAACAATTTTGTACAAAATTTATTTCTGTTTTATTATAACATATTAATTTATAGCGTTGGAACTTTAGAAAAAAATGCCAATTAAACAAAATTTTGAGATTTGGGAGATTTATTTATAAGGATCTTTCGTGTATTCTTTTGTGTATTAAAAATATGATTAAAATAAATTAGCATGTGTTAGTTTCTCTTGTATCTTCCTCTTTCTAGCTGCCTTGACAATAATATCATCACATTGTCAATAATTGTCAGTTCTGAATTGATGCCATGTTTTTTATCTCTATAAGTTGCGTTAGATAGATTTTTTGGTATTAATAACGTATATCTTTAAATAAAATCTTAATCGCGTAACCGCTGATTACAAATGTTTGAAAAAAATATCCTTGTTATTTAATTTTACTGTCCTCATATGACATTGCACGCCACAAAGAGTGACTTCCATCACCCTTCTTCATGACAACGGTTCTCACGAGCTCTTCCGATGGTTGCTTGAGATCGTATGCTCACCTTATTCTAGCAAAGAAATTAATAAACAGCATGGTGACATTCAGATTATTACCGCCTAATTCGGCCGTCTTGTGGACCCACGGAAACGCGTGATGATAATTATGCCATCCTTCGCCGTACGCCAAAAACGCCGTGAGTTTGCTGTCCGTCGGATTTATATTCCTGTCGTTAAAACGAAAAATATGAAATAATTCTCTTATGTGATAATCAATAACGAGAATCTCAACCGATTATATGGCATTATCTTTTACTGATACACAGATGATGATTTTTAATAAAACTACATTTTTACGCATTATATGGCTTCGAGCCCCAGGTATGAACCGCACTGTTAATCATTCACGTGAAATTTAAACTGATGACGTAGCGAGTAAGAATCTGCAATACAAAATCTGGACCAAGTCTTGTTCCATGCATATACAGGTAGCATAATAGGCTGTAGAAAAGCGAAGATGTGTTTGAGTATCAAAAAATATCTACAAAAAAAGCATAGATTAATTGATATGCTTCGAATTGTTTATTTTATAAAAAACTTTATTGCTTGCAAGGCTGAAGGATAAGTATAAAAATGTAATAAAACTGAAAAGTGTAAAATAAATGTAAGTGTTATAATTTGTAAGGAAAATCCGCAGATACTTAAGGTGAATTAAATATATTAATATATTATTATAATATAAAATATAAAAATATATTAATATATTTTCTTTTTTGATTTTTAAAGTGCAGATGTATTTCCAGCTGTTAATACAGTAGGATTAGTAACTTTTTGATGCGCACTTACTTGCAACCGAATACGAAGACAGAATCCGCCATTGTGTTACTTATAAATATTAATCTGACGACCTCTTCGTATCACATGTGGATGTTTTTTCATCATCAGTCAGCCGACATGAGCAAAGAAGAATCCTCGGTTGCTATTGTGGATCCGTGGCTGTGTCCGTGTACTTGTGGTGTACTCGATGATCTCGTACCCAGTCATAACTCAATAAGCAAAAATCATTGATATAACGTTATTTTAACGATATTTAGTAATATGTAACATTGTTAAATATGTAAGTTTTAACGTTCTAATCGACGTCATTATAAACAAACTTTGACACTGATTTTAAGGTTTCAATAACGTTGAAATGGTAGTGTCTTAATATTACAAATAATGTTGTGCAAATGTTTTTTATAATTTTAATATAATGTTTTTCATATAACATTAAATAAATGATTAGATTTAAACTTACTTTTAACCTAATTCATCATTATATCAACATTCACACAATATTAATATTTTATTATTTATTTCATATTCTTAGTAAATACAAAGTAACATAACATCAATGTTATAATTTTCCACTCAATAAAGTTCTTCCTGAAATCACTTGCAAAAATCAAAGATATATGAGATTATAAATGCACGTGCTTGCACACACATCACGAAGCTGCCGAGAAGGATTACACATACGCTGCGTTCCGAAATTCACTGCTACCAGTGCTGGAAATTTATAGTTCATATCATGTCACATATCTTATAGATTTTCAGTATTGGCAATACTGCACGTTGCGCGTTCATACGAGTTGACGCTTACATTGAGGATAGAAATAGCTATATATAATAGGGCTTTCTCTCGCAAAGAATTTTGACATTACTTATCTGCGAACTTAATGTTAATTTTTTATATAATGTTAGAATTTTGTTGTGCCCTTTGTGGTAGGACACGAGTTCGGGATCTGCCGAGGAGTTAGGCCGGGAATCCGGGAATAATCTTTTGATGTTCTTTCCAATAAAAAACAGTCTCCCGTATATTTATTGGTTTCTTGTTTTATTACAAATTCCCTTATTTCTAGATAAACTAAGTTCCGTCAGGAATCCTTGTCTTAGTGTAGTATCACGAGCCCCAAGTTACTCTTATTCGCTTTTAGCGATTTGTTATAATTCGCGTTCTTCTAGATTTGTGGTCCCGACGGACATACGTCCGTTTCTTTTGACTGATAGTTTTCGACCCGCCGTCGTGATCTCGCGACGGCGATTTTATATGCGCGAAACTGCACTTGATTGCAGTTTTAACGGTCTAACTTGCTGACGAAATTCGATCGTTCGTCAGCATTGTCGCGTTAAAAGTGAATTAGATTTTAATTTTCGCTGCGCGATTCTCCGGTGTCTCGCATGAGCCGGAAACTGAATATTAGATATCCTTAATCTGATATGTAATAGATATCTTCTTATATTTTATTAATATATATATATATATATATATATATTATTATTAATAATTGGTTGTGGTTCTTTGGACCCACAACAGTTACATAAAATATTAAATATCAATTATTTTTACTTTATATAATTCAATAAAAATAGTTTTTATAATATTTCTTTCTTATAAAATTTTAAATATTAAAAAATAAATATAAAAAAAAAAATTTATTAAAATTTAAAAAAAAAAAATTATTAAATTAAAACTATTGTAACTATGTTGAAACTTGCAGCAAATGGAAGTGTTAAAATAACATTGAAAACAAAGTTTTAAATAATGTTTTAAAAATATTTCTCTGATATTTAAGAAAACTATATTATAAAATAATATATTTAAAATATGTATAACAACACAAAATCTTTATCATTATAACGTTATTTTAAACATAAGATTTCATTAAATTAAAACTATTGTAACTATGTTGAACTTGCAGCAAATGGAAGTGTTAAAATAACATTGAAAACAAAGTTTTAAATAATGTTTTAAAAATATTTCTCTAATATTTAAAAAAACTATATTATAAAATAATATATTTAAA